AGTATAGTGCCGAATTGTTTTCATAATAGTCGTCTGAATGCCTAAATATTATCAATTATTATCTGATGGACTCTATAATTTTAATAACGTTCGTATCATGTCACCATATTTTTACACAGGTAAAAATGRTTTTATTCACCTAAACGATATAAATGATAGTCATCTAAAAGCCAAAAGCCAAAATTATTAATCTTTTGACCAAAATGATTACCTTTTCGCCTAAACGATCACCGCCATGTACATCTGTATCCACCTATCTTCACAATAAAATGGTGGTTATCAAATTAAATTTATATTATCTTATTTTATCTTTTTATATTGATTGTCTTAAAAGTATAGGTAATAGGTATCTACTACCTATATGATAAAATGTGTACCTATGTTGTACGTACCTATTATATTTGCGTATTTGTCTAAAATGAATGTATTTCTGTCGCAGTTTGTGTAAAAACAGATCAAAAAGAACTTCCACCACAAAACCATGGCGGTATAGTTAGAAGAATGAAAGATATCGTTTCGTCTACTGTTCAGTATGGAAATACGTTGAAAGATTCAGTGCAGAAGAGAAACATTTTACCAATTACGGCCATGACATCATCGCGGCAGAACTAATTTTTTTTGCTTTGAAAACAATGTTTTTTTTTTTTTATATATAAATGTACTGTATTATATTGTATCAAAATAATAGGTAATAATAATAATAAGAGCAATGTACTATCTAAAATATTTATAAAACTAATTTATTGTTTACTAATAAAATAATTTCAAAAACTATTTAATTAGTAGGTATACAACATTATTGTATTACACGTGTATTATGCATTTATCTATTTATTATGATGGGTAAATAAGTCGTTCACATCACGTGTATATCTAGGAACTTGATTAGTGTTATCTATAGTGTTATTATTGTAAATTATTAATTAACTAAATTCAATTTATATAAATTAAAACATAATAATCGTATGTAACTCSACTAAATTTCAAAAGTTAATAATATGCATTTAATCTGAAAGTCAGGTATTTTGATTGAAAGAATGCTTTTAAAATTTATATTGTCATGTAACATGCAAATGTTTAGGTAAATTATAACCATATCTATACATTTAATTGTATATACTGCTGCAATTTATAATTATTATTTATAAAAACATTTTAAATTATTATTGTATATTTAATAAATTTACTATATTATACCTAGTGTAAATGTGTAATCTAATTAAACTATAAAAAATATAATATTTAAATCTAACCTAATCTAATCTAGCCATGTAGGCGTAAGTATTGCTAATGTTTAATGATAAAAAATAAGGTACCTATACTGTATTCTGGTCGCGCATGATTGCATGGTCATTAAGATATGACTGTGCTTCCGATTATGTTCCGTCTTGCACTCTGAATCCTTATGGCATATTTATTATTCAGTGTAAATATATGATAGCACGAACGTAGATATGTGTATTATTATAGTATTAATTACCTATACCGTAATTTTTTTAAATATAAATCAATCGATAATTTATATAAAAATATTGTTTTTTATTGTATTTATAATGTTATATAACAAACTAGTATGAAATGTATTTGTTTTGCAGAAAAAAACAATATTTTAATAATAAAATATAATAACATGACAAGAAAAATAATAGTGATGCCTATGCAAAAAACAAATCACCTATATTTTAATATACCTACCTAATTAAATTAATATAACTACTAGCTACTATATTAAGTCAATAGGTAGGTACAAGCGTGTTTAACGGTGTTAAAAAGTCCATGATATAATTATCTTAAAGCTATTCTAAATATATTCAAAATATCGTAAAATATTCTTAAATAATGATATAAATAGTGATGAAAAGTTTCAAATGCTAAGATATTGTTTATGCCTAAAATTTACTATAAACGTTATCCTTCATTAAACCTGTCCTATTAAGGGAAAATCTGAACTCCAAACACTTACCTATATGAAAAAAGATGACTGTATGTACGTACCTATTTTTGATCTTTTTAATTTATCTTTACAGAAATGGAAATATACTAATTATATAGTAAAATTAATCAAACATTTTAAATGTTTATAAATACCTAAAATGATCCAAGATGTTGGGAAATTTTTAATTTGTTTGATATAAATATTTTGAGACATTTTAAGTCTCAAAAATGATTAAGTTTTAKAATGTTTTGATGTAAAACTAAAAAAATATATTTAAAAACTCATATCATTGACCATAGTGGAACCAATATAATACCTAACATTCATTACATCGATTCAGAATCAAATATATTGCTTTTTAAGAGTACCTACCTATTAAACACTTCCTTTGATATTTATTTTTCGAAAGCACATTCTAGATATCTATTATTGTCATTGCATTACTCACTAATAATGTGGGTTCTCGTTCGAGTTACTTTAAAACCGAAATTAATTTTATCTGTTTTTAAATCGCGTTTTTAGAAAA